GTTTGCAACAACTTGAGGGAGAGTAAATGACAGAATTAATTTTTTTGCTTTGGAGTATCCCTTTTGGAGCTCCTAAAGTTCTTTTCCAGCTATTTTTGTTAGTAACTGTAGTCTAAAGAGAAACAGCTGAACTGTAAACTGATCCCCACGGCTTCTGAGGAAGATGCATTTGCATTCAGTCTAGAATAACACACAGACCTCACATATACAAAAACTGTGGCTGTTTTCGTCGAACATTATTTACATAATTTCAGGAATATCTTTGGTGTCACTCAAAAAATGATGTGTTGGCTTTACTTTTTTTTATGTAAACAGGTTCCACCGGTTCCACATAACTTTGTTTCGTTATACAAACATAATTTGTTCATGTAACTTCAACATCATGGAAGTCATTTTAAGCCATCCAATCAAACTCTGAGCTGAGTGTTAAATGAACACTGAAACAGTGATAAAGTTAATGAGATAATTTAGTGAATAATTGAGTGATGATTGAGCATTATTGAAGACACCTGATGATCACAAGCAGAATCACTGAAGGAGAAAATCACAAATTGTAAGTCACCGTTATGGAGATCAGTGTTTGTTTTAGTTGGGCTCTTGACACTTAAACTATCTCTTTAAACTTAGTTTGTCTGCTGTTAATAACTTATAACAGTCAAATGAACAAAGAAAACTATGATAGTGTTGGTTGTGATATGACATAATCATACTGTGACCTGTAAAATGAAACTTTTCAGATGATTTGGCTTAACTTGTTAGCAACATTTTAGTGATTGTACTGCATATCCGTTTTTTTCTTTTAACCTAAAATATTTAATAAATATTATTCTGATCAAATCACTTTCATCCTTATTTAGAAACAGAGACATCAAAAATCAGCCCGTCTATCTCAACTGTGGTGGCAATATTAATCCTTGTTGCCACCAATCACAACTCATAGAGTAAAAGTAAAAGTCAGAAAGAGTAAGAGCCAAAGAGTAAAAGTCCTGCCATATGTTTATTCAACCCATGAACTCAATCAGCTGACTTCACTAATTAGTTCTCTCTCCCGTCTGAATTAGCAAATCCAGGTGATTGGAACAAAAATCTGAAGAGGACTTTTACTTTCTGAACCTGGACTTTACTCCTCTGCATAGCAATGCCACATGCCAGCCAAGAGTAAAGAAATAAACCAGAATTGGACCTATACCCACATAGCAACATTGTTTCGGCCCAGATCCGGCCCACAACTGAAACTACTCCATTATTAATATACACAGATTTTGTGGGTCAGATAATGTCCAGTTCTGGTTTATTTCTTTACTCTCGGCTGGCATGTGACATTGCTAGGAGATGTAAATCCAGGTTCAGAAAGTAAAAGTCCTCCTCAGTATTTTGTTCCACTCACCTGGATTTGATAATTCAGACGGGAGAGAGAACTAATTAATGAAGTCAGCTGACTGAGTTCATGTGTGGAATATGGCAGGACTTTTACTCTTTGGCCCCTGGATTTCCCACCGCTCCCTATACGTACACAAGGAGTGTTAATTTAACACTGGGAATGTTGCTGTGTAGATTAACTTCATTTTTAATTAAATATTTGTAGTATTTTCAAATTTAGCAGAGATGATGGAAAATATTTTTATATGCAAACTGTTACCCAATCTTGGAATTACTTCCAAGTCTTGACTGTAACATGTCTATAAAAACTGAGTGTTTCAAAGAGGTCAAAAGTAGGATGAAAAATAGATTATACTTCTTAGGATGTTTTGTGATGTAAAATCTTGACATTATAAGTTGACTTCAGAGAACTTTGCAAATGCAGTTCATGACCCCTGTAATACTAGGATCAGAGATTTACATAGAGTCCATGTGACTGGTCCACACTGGGCTGTACATTCCCATAGACTGTATGTACTTGGCTCTTTGGGACTTCAGGTCTGTTGATAGGTTTAATCCGAGTGTTCTTGTCTGTGTTAGGAATGTCAACAGTCTCGTACACACTGTCTCCCTGCATCAAGAAAACAAAACTGCTCTAGAAGGTCTGCTGGGTGATTAAACACATAATGATTTCTTTTGATTAATTTTATTTCTTCAATGCAAAGCACTTTGAATTACCATTGTGTATGAAATGTGCTATATCTAGCATAGCAACATTATTTCTGCCATCCTGTTTGCCAGATCTGGGCTGACATGTGGCGTTGCTATGGCCTGCTTGTGGCCCAGATCTGGCAAACAGGAGTGGGCCACCCAAGGGCCGTCAGTCATTGCTGCAAGTGGGCCAGATCCGAATCCCACAAGTGCCAGATATGGGCCGGATCTGGGCCGAAACAATGTTGCTATGTATAAATAAACTTGCCTTGCCTTGAATATTAAGTAGGGTTTTTAGGTTATTTTTTTAAGGTCAGTGAGCGACTTACAAAATCGTTGGCATTACTCTTCTGTTCATCTCTGCTTTTATTTTGATTGTTGACAGGCGTCACACTGCCTATTGAAATATCAAAACAAAGAAATGCATTGGTCAAATCTTTTTGTTGTTTTAATTATGCTGATAGTAGACATGGCTTGTTTATTTTTACCTGTACTTGCTGATGTCTTGACTTTTTTCCTGCACTGATGGACAACGATCCATCCAACTACAAGTATGATCACTGCTATGACCAGCCCACCGACAGCATATAGTATGTATACTGTAGTGTCCAAAGATTCTGAGGGAGAGATAGAAAAATATGTATCATTAAAGTCATTCAGATATTCGTCATCTACAGGCTTGTGCAAAATTCAGAATTTCAGAATTGGCCTCCATTCAATTCATTATTTGGAATTTGAATTGAATTAATTCTGTCCCACAGGAAGTTGAATTTGAATCGGAATGACAGGAAGTGGAATTAAATTCATGGCAATTCAAAGAAATCCCACACAGTCACACAACAGAGAGAATGTGTTGAATCTCACATACATTCAGCATTAGGAAGGTTACTTTGGAAATGTAATTGCTTAAGTTACCCATTATAAATGTGGATTACTTTATTTGGATTCCTTTATCAATGCAAAGCAATTTCCTTTTAATTTAATTAGTAACTAATTGAATTCAACATTTTACCTCAGTAATACAACTAAATACATTTACATTAATTTTGTAATTTAATAACATTCGTTACACACATATCACTCCTCAACTCTGCATAAATTCTTGTTATAAATACACAGCAAAATCCCCAGAGTAAATTTAACACTGCCCAGAGTATATATGTTTATTACTAACCAGAATGACTATTTCTGTCAGATGTCTATGAACGGAGGTTTGGATATCAATGTTTTAAAATGTTTGGTCACCATTATTATGATAGTGTTTCCTTTAGTTGAGTAGTTTTACTTTTATCATTTTAAGTGAATTTTGGTCTTTGTAACAATGTTTACCAACGCACATAGTTTGTGATAAAAGAAACAATAACCTAAGGTGTTCAGGTATAGTCATTTTCATAATAAAAACGATAATAGAATGGTTCTCTAATGTTATTCCTGACCAAAAGTTGTAATTTGTTTTTAATAATTAACATTCACCTTTCTTGACACAGAGCAGACATTCTGGATTTTTATATACATTGCAGACACATTTTGGAAATCATTACAATTACATACACTTTTTTTTCTGAAACAAACAGACATCATGAATCAGCATATGAATCTCAACAATGGTGACATGCGTCATGTGACAATGCGTGCTGGGAGCCAGGAGTTTTAACCTCCTAAGACCCGAGTTTTGGTCAGAGGTGGAAAGTTCAGAAAGTCAAAAAGTAAAAGTACTGCCACATTTTTATTCCACCCACAGGGGTGGAATAAAAAATTGTTTCATGAAAAATTGTTTAAATTTACGGGGAAAAGGCTCAACTGCAGATATGAAACATGAAACATAAAATAGAAGAATATAACAAAAAATCATTAAATAAATATATTTATTTAATGATTTTTTTGTCCCATTCTTCATATTGAGTATGTTTCATATGTTTCATAACTGCAATCGAGCCTTTCATGTTTAAAGAAAACTTGTTGACAAAGACGTAGTATACTGGACTTCTTCACTGTCACGGCTGAGAAAGGGTTTTTTTTAAGCTGTAAGCGGGAGGGGATGCGAAGATAATTGCAATTGTAACTGTTAAAAAACAATAAAGAATATATATATATATATATATATATATATATATGTATATACAGTATATGTTGTTGTCAATAAAAAACATTTGCACAAAGCAAGCCGATCCACTTTACCATGTTGATAAGAGCATTAAAATGAGGGAAAAAAATAATAATGGGACAAAAAGAAATCAAGAGACATTTAGAATAGATAAAAATGTGTGATTAATTGCTATTAATCGTGAGTTAACTATGACATTAATGTGATTAATCGTGATTAAATATTTTAATTGTTTGACAGCACTAATATATATATATATATATATATATATATTTGTTTTTGTTTTTGGGAGTGGCCTCGTAAGGGCAGCAAAGCAATTGCATTCTGGGAGTTCCACATAAGTAAAAAAATACATTTTCTGCATTTTCTCAGTCTACATTTCAAAAATAATTTCACGTTTCTATTATATAAAAGACCAATATTAAATACACCTTCATCTTCCCAGAGGTGAAGTATCCCTTTAACTGATATATATATATATATATATATATATATATATATATATATATATATATATATATATATATATATATATATATATATATATATATATAATGCTGACACACAAGCTAGATAAAATAATGTGTCTAAGCCTGAGCAATCCACTGTAGCAATGGATTAACAAAAATCAAATGAAAAAAACATTCAGGAAATAAGCCAATAGAGACACAGTGTGTTACATTACCAGATGAGATGGCCACTGGTGTGACAGTTGTAGAGCTGGTGTTAATGCTGCCAGTGTCTGAAAGTTTGTATGAATAATGATTAATCAACAGAAACACAAATATCATGAATCTGTAGAAAGAGCTCATGTGAATATAATTACCTGCACAGTATGCAAAACTGCAGAAAGTTGGTCTGACCAGCTCATAGACATAATAATCTCCTGGACAGGCTTTGACTTTAATGGGATAAGACCCGTAAAAGCAGCAGAAATTGTCCCAGTGAGCGCAGACATCTCGAGTGACGACTCCATCTGTTACTGTTGGGTGTCCACCACGGATCCACAGTGGGGCATTAGTGCCACAGCTGAACTTAGCAACACACGTGTCTGGGATATGAGCGCTAGTGCTGTTAATGAAGAGACGATACCAGCCGCTCCAGGAGACGGACTGATCACAGTTTTTGACTGGAGCATTTATATTATTGATGGATCTCCATGGATCGTCCAGCACAGTGTAGTTGTTGCAGGGGTCTGACAGATTAGCGGTAGTGAAAATATATTAAGAAATAAAACATGTTTTATTGCAAAATGTAACCAAAATTGCAGCTTCAGACATTACTTTTTTCTTCTTCTTCTTTTGCTGATTCAGAGCAATTCATTTCGATCCACAATATTTTTTTTTCAAATGCACTTTTATTAAAACATCAATACATCTTAAAGAAAATCTTTTAAATTGGAAGTAAACATGTTACACACCAGTATAATCATTTACATATTATTATTATTATTATTATTATTTTTTAAAGATTTTCTTTCCATTTTAGAAATGACCACTTTAAAATGACCATTGTTAGGTTTTCAGCGGGAATCCTGGTACATAAACTAATATTAAAGTAACAATCTGGTATTTAGTTTCCGCCATATTTCTTCTGTATAAAATGAAAAAAAAATGTTTAAATTAAAGCCACACTGCAGAACTTTTTGGCCACTAGATGGTGCTCAACCTGTAACTTTCACGTCTAGCGTCCCTAGAGGCCACAAACTCTGCAGCACTGTCGCAAATTAAAGTCAACAAGCAAAATGATGTCCAAAAGAACGTCTTTTCAACGTCTTTGTCACAAAAAGTCGGACGTTGAAAAGACGTCCACTGAGGGGCCGGAATGAAAGTTTTTATGTCTTTTTTTGACGTGTTCTGGACATCTGAAAAAGATGTCAATGGATCCTTCGTACAAGGTTAAAAACTAGTTCAAATGTGGCCATTTTCAAGAGTATTTATGGTCTCATTTAGACAATTTATACCGTTTCTGAACCAAATAAACACTCTCAGGATGCATTAAATTAAAACTCATGTTTATTTACATTGTTTAGATGTGGTTTAGATGGTGATATTGGTTTAATTTTAAATCACCATTGTGGTGATCAGTGTTTGCTTTAGTTGGGCTCTTTGTCCCAGATCACCATACTTCAGCTTTTCTTTGGCTGTTGTAACTGTTTGCATAACTCCATTGTTGTTGCGGAGAAAGCCAAGAAAATAAAAAAAAATAGTTGTCTTCAGCTGCTTGTTGATGATGACAAAATAAACACAATGCAAGCATTAAACAACATCTAAACTTTTGCTTTAATATCTGAAATTTATAATTATTCATCTTGTGGAACTGCATTATTTGGACCAGTAACTTTACAATGAGCACTGCGTACAAGAAATTGACCCACATAGTCACACATAGATATCAAGATTTTGCATATGAGTCTCAACAATGGTGACACCCAAAACAAAAAAGCCTGGGAATTAAGGATGTTTTGTTCTATGAAAGCTACCCACCATGCATTGCAGCATGAAGCATTTTATTTATTATGACCATTTTATTTATTATCACCATTTTTGTGAAATTTGTAATGTAAATTTGCTTTTTGAACACAGAAGTCTAAACACAACGTTAAAATGCCCAATTTATGTTGATTTCATCATCATCACCATCACCAACAACAACAAGGAGCTGATGAGAGACAATTTTCTTGGCTTTCACTGTCAGAACAATGGTGTTATTCAAACACACAGTTACAACAGCCAAAGAAAAGTTAGAGTACAAATTATTGGGACCAAGAGCCCAACTGAAGCAAACACTGATCACCACAATGGTGACTTAAAATGAAACAAATATCACCATCTAAACAACGTAAGGAAATTTTTAATTTAATGCATCCTGAGAGTGTTTATTTGGTCCAGAAATATTATAAATTGTCTAAATGAGACCATAAATAGTGTTGAAAATGGCCACATTTGAACTAGTTTTTAACCTTGAACGAAGGATCCATTGACGTCTTTTTCAGACGTCCAGAACATGTAAAAAAAAAAAACGTCATAAAAACTTTCATTCTGGACCCTCCGTGAACATCTTTTCAACGTCTGACTTTTGTGACAAAGACGTTGAAAAGACGTATTTTGGACATCATTTTGCTCAGTGGGTTTGGGGAAATACAGCCCTGATCTGTAGCCTACATACATTAGAAAACATTCAGGAAATAAGCCAACAGAGACACAGTGTGTTACATTACCAGGTGAGATGGTCACTGGTGTGACAGTTGTAGGGCTGGTGTTAATGCTGCCAGTGTCTGAAAGTTTGGATGAATAATGATTAATCAACAGAAACACAAATATCATGAATGTGTAGAAAGAGCTCATGTGAATATAATTACCTGCACAGTATGCTGAAGAACATAGACTTGGTCTGACCAGCTCATAGACATAATAATCTCCTGGACAGGCTTTGACTTTAATGGGAAAAGATCCGTGAAAGCAGCAGAAATTGTTCCACTGACCGCAGACATCTCGAGTGACGACTCCATCTGTTACTGTTGGGTGTCCACCACGGATCCACAATGCATAATAAGTGCCACATCTGGACAGAGCAACACACGTGTCTGGGATATGAGCGCTCATGCTGTTAATGAAGAGACGATACCAGCCGCTCCAGGAGACAGACTGGTCACATTGGGAGTAAATTTTATTATTGATGGATCTCCATGGATTGTCCAGCTCAGTGTAGTTGTTGCAGGGGTCTGACAGATTAGAGGTAGTGAAAATATATTAAGAAATTAACAAGTTTCTGAAAAACATGTTTTATTACAAAATGTAACCAAAATTGCAGCTTCAGACATTACTTTTCTTCTTCTTTTGCTAATTCAGAGCGATTCATTTCGATCCAAAATATTTTTCAAATGCACTTATAGTAATATTTAAAGGGCACCTATTATGCCTCTTTTTACAAGATGTAATATTGGTCTCGGGTGTCCCCAGAATGTATTTGTGAAGTTTCAGCTCAAAACACCCCACAGTTAATTTATTATAACCATTTGAAAATGTCATTTTGGGGCCTGTTTAAAAATGAGCTGTTTTGGTGTATACCACCTTAAATGCAAATGAGCTGCATATCCCCGCCCTGCCTTTGGATGAGGGCGTAACATGAAACCTATAGCAGTCGGTACTGAGAGAGTAAGAGAAAACGCTGTTTTGAATGTCATTCAGCGTACGTTTGAATCGGAATATTTAAATAGTACGAAGAGACTCAAAATAAACACAAATGAGAATGGACCAGTACGTCTCGGTATGGTTATTTGATACATTTATGTACTTATAGAGTTGTAATCACGTCCCATTTGCAATTATGGATGTAGAACACACAGACACACACAAACACTAACGCTGGCGCAATTTTTTGAAACTACATACACATACTGTGATAAAGTTTGCTACGTACAAGCGAAATTACATTTATGCGAGTGACCTGTTGTGTCATGTTTACTTGTCATACAGGTGCTTCTGTGGCAAATGTGAGGAGATGGCTAACTTACAGAACAACAACATATATACCGTTTTTAATACAATATCTTTTAAAAATATATATTTATAAACGTGTGGTTACACACTATACAAACAAGGTTTAAATTATATACACAGACATCCTACGACAACAACAACTTTAGACGCATTTGTTGTTGAATTGGCTGACATTGACTGAAAAGACTATTTGCTCATAAATCATAAAATACACTTACTGTTACTGGAGGTGACGGTGGATTGCAAACAGTAGACGACGATCCACAATTGAGGATTAACTTTTAAGCCACAACAACAGGATTAACCCACGACTGAACATTTATGTTTCCAAGAGACATTACCGGCTGTCGTTGAAACAATGGAGGATGGTGTACACATAACCGAGGGCGGGGTCTATGCCACAACCACACTGTCAATCAAACCTCTTGCTCAATTCTACGTCACAAAGAGCTGAATCTCAGAACAGCTCATTCTGAGACAGTGCAGATGATTTATTGAGATTGTAAAAAACCACTGGGTGGATTGTTATCATTCTAGGGTGGTTTTGCTCACACACTGCCAACATTTATGTTCAAACACCATGTAAAAGTGAATTTTCCATAATAGGTGCCCTTTAAACATCAATAAATCTTAACCTCCTAAGACCCGAGTTTTGGGTGGAAAAGTCCAGGGGTCAGAAAGTAAAAGTACTGCCATATTTTTACTGCACCGACAGCAAAAACTCCAGTGTTAAATGAACTTTACTGGGAGTTTATTTGTGCTCTCTGCTGTGTGTGTGCTGTGTTCTCCACTGTGTGTGTGTGCTCCACTGCTCTATTTTAAAAAAATTGGTCAAAAAATAAATCTGCTAAATATTATTCTGTTCTGAACTGAATTCATATTCATATTTAATATTTGAATATAGGCCTATTTCCTTTACAATTTTTGTGTGTCTCAAATAAAAGTGTGGTTATTTTTTTATTCAGATTCATTAAATACTTGAACCCAATTAAAACATTTTATAATACAATTATACAACAAAACAAAACCACCAAAAAAACATTTAAAAGAATATTTGAAGTCATCTTTAGTTTAGTTTTTGGTCAAGTGCATCCAGAATTTTTATATCGGAATTTTTATATTATGAAGCTGAGTTCATTATACATTGGGTTTAGAGATGAATGACAGTATTCAATTGGAAAATTAAACTTCATTTGGCCTATATATGAAACAATTACAGAATTTTAATTTTAAAAAGTAAATTAAATGTGTTCATTTCTCTCTTTTATTTATTTATTGTGCAATTTACATCAAGGTGGGAAAAGACTTTCATCATAACAAAAAAAAAGATTATATCATACATAAGTAATTTTAATTTTCTGGAGAAATCAGGTTATATCTATTAACAGATATGCTTCAATAAAAATGTGTTTTTTTAAGTTTGGTTGAAATCAGTTATAATCAGTAATCTTAAAAAAAATGTTAATTTAGTTTCAACATTTCAACCAGTTATTGTAGATGAAATCACATGAAGTACATTTTCTAAGTTCAACTTACAAAACTTTTTTTTTTCTAGTGTACATTACCTGCAGTCGTCACCGGTGTTACAGTTGAAGAGGCCAAGTACAGTCTTAAGACATCTAAAAAATAATTATGAATACAAATGAGTCAACATGTTACATAGAACACAATGAAATATCAGTCAAATAAACATATATTAATATAAGCTTTTACTTAAAGTAACAGTTCACCTAAAACCCTAAAACCTGACTTTCACAGAATAAAGTATTGTCCATCCAAGAAATTATTATCATCATCCATATTTTTCACATAATGAAACCCTTAAGCCTTTTCTGTTTAAACTAACAAAAACAACAACAAAAAACACATTGCAGCACTACAGTATCTACATGAAGTATAAATTGTGGATCATATTCCAAATCTTCTGAAGTCAAATAGCATCTTAATGTGGAGAGCAGAATGAAATGAAAGAAGTGGTTGATGTTTTGAGTGGTTTCCCTACACAAATAAATCAATCATGTTGTACACAGAAAGCGACATTTTGATGTCCCAGATCCGGCCCACATCTGGCACATGTGGAAAGATGATCTGGGCCACAAGCAGACCATAGCAATGCCACAAGTCAGCCAAGAGTAAAGAAATAAACCATTTTTTTTCTCCGAGTCATTTGGTTCATTCAACGAACGAAATGACTCGAAAAAAGATTTGTTCATTTTGATGAACGAGTTCGAACAACAGAGTCACGAACGCGCATCACAGAGCAAGGCGAGCATTTGAGCTTATAAAACTTAAACTTTGTTATTTATTTTTGAAATGACCGACTGTTGCTTGATAAGACCCTTATTCATCTTCAAGAATCGTTTAAAGCCATTTGAACTTTGGACCTTGAACCGTTTGGTTCCCATTGAAGTCCATTATATGGAGAAAGATCCTGGAATGTTTTCATTAAAAACCTTAATTTCTTTTTGACTGAAGAAAGAAAGACATGGACATCTTGAATGACATGGGGGTGAGTAAATTATCCGGAAGTTTTTTTTTTTTTTGTTGTTTTTTTAAAGTGACCTACTCTTTCAATATACACAGATTTTGTGGCTCAGATAAAGTCCGGTTCTGGTTTATTTCTTTGCTCTTGGCTGACATGTGGCATTGCTATGGCCTGCTTGTGGCCCAGATCTGGCAAACAGGAGTGGGCCGAGAGGTCAGGGTGTTATTGCGAGCAAATCGCGGGGGATTAGCGGGCGATGAATGCTTGCCAATCTGTTAGTATGAAAGAGCCAACAACGCATCAAGGACGCTCGCAGACGCCTCGCAGACGCATCGCCGAGAGCATGCTAGATATTTAGAGCCGTCTTACGACTCAACCTCAGTGATGTCATAAGCTACAGCCAATCAGAGCAAGGCATGGGTTGAGGTCACCGGGTAAATCTTATTTTTTCTTTTTTTGCATTTTTTTCTCAGCGCAAACAGTATGCAACACTAGTTTCTGTATTTTTGACGTCCATTCGCGCGTTGTGTTCTTCTCTTCTCCTTCGCTGGGTTGGCGCACGTGCTGTTCGCGTTATTTCCTGTTTGTTTTATCGCATGATTTTTCATGAAAAAACGTGGTTTGTAGACAAGATAGAATCGTTGGGTGACAGAGTTGTCAGCTCGTGTAGTGTGTTACCTCCTGTTGTGGATCACGTTGTGTTGTGTGGTGTGTGTTGTGTGGTGTGAACACTCCTGATTTCACAGAAAGCAAGTCATGTAGTGTGTACTTCACAGTTCAGCCAGACGTTTTAAAATCGTGTAGTGTGAACAAGGCTTTACTGGTCATTACATCAGCATACAGACAAAAAGCTAAAAAACATGGTTTAGACTTACACAGAATCCCAGAGATGAGAGGATGAGCTTTTATAAAACCTGAAATATGAAGAACAAGTCAATAAAAACAACTGAATTTGTACTGGATTGAGTCTGAGAAAACTACATTAATCATCCGTTCACAGTTCATGAGATTTTTGGGGCAACGAGAGCTAACCTTTAAACACAAGACAATACTCACCTTTATGAAAGGAAGCCATTGTCAGTTTTGACAGTCCAGTTTTTTGTTTATTCACAATCCAGTTCAGAGGACGAGTTTCCTGTACAGTTAGAGAATAAACCAATTAGCCATTGCATTTACGTAAACAAACAAACAAACAAACAAACAAAAGATCTTTCAAACAAACACACGTAAAACATTCCACAGCATTTGATTTTGGATAAGAGTTCAAATTGAGGCTTTTAAAACAGTTTTTGCCAAGCATTATGCAATAAAGGATGAAACAACTCGATCTCGAATAATCTTAGAATCACAAATCATAGTTTCCCAAAAGCATCAGATCTGAAAATGGTTGAATTGTAGAATGAAGTGCTCTTCCTTATTTTCATCCTTAGAAATGTTAGTAAGAGTCCAGACCTGCTTAAAGCCCAAATTACTCAACTATAACTTAGTATTAACTTATATTAGTACACACAAATCAATTTTACTTGTAACTACACACACATCAATACATGTTTAGACATTAAGAGAGTGATGAGGATCATTATGAGCAGAAAGAAGATCTTACCTTACCTTACCTTACACGACTGATGAAAAAGTTTGTATGTTTGCATGTTTATAGATAAGTTATCTCTCCATCATTCTCATGAGGAAATATTAACCCAAATCCACTGTTTTTCTTCCTCAAATTCAAATACAACTTTCCACACAATAGACAGTGAAATCCCCCGGGTTAAATTACTCCTTACATATGTGTCCAACTACAGGGTGTTAAAATCAACACTGAAACAGTCTTAAAGTTAATGAGACAATTAAGTGATTAATTAAGTGATGATTGAGCATTGTTGAAGACACCTGATGTTAATAAGCAGAATCGCTGAAAGAAAGAGAAACAACAAAAACAGAAAAAAAGAGAAACACAAGACCTACTGACTGAGCCGTTACACGTTATTTGTCCATATTTTACCCAAACATGGGTTAAAACAACCCAGCATTTGAGTCTGATATTGCTCCAAAGGGCTTTATAGTTATATATTTTTTATTTAATTATAGCTGTAAACAGAACTCAACTGCATCACGCACACTGGAAGAAGAAGTAAAATAATGAGTGTTGCTTCTTTCACTTGGTCCTCCATCACTGTAAAAAAAGTTTGTAAAAGTGTAAAAGTCTGTAAAAGTCAAGTCATCTCGTTGATTTGACTGAGTTAGGTTGAGTTAACGTATAGTGTTAAGTTTATTACGCTTCCAGTTTATCCACGTGTTCTTCATGTCCGATATAGGCGTTCATCGACCCTTCGAGGTTAAAAACTAGTTCAAATGTACTTTGACTATTGCTGTCAGATGATCTTAGTAAGAATTAACAGAGGTTTAGATGTTCATATTAGTTGAGGTGTCACCATTGTGGTGATCAGTGTTTGCTTTAGTTGGCCTCTTGGTTCCCCTTTATCTTTACTTTAGCTTTTCTTTGACTACTGTAACTGTGTGTTTGTAAAACACAATTTATGTTGCAAAGAAAGCCAAGAATATGAATAACCAGGTGTTATCAGCTTCATGTTGATGTTGGTGAAATCACCACAAAAAAAGCATCTAATGTTGTCTGAAACTTTGGCATTTCTAGTTGCCTATCTTGTGGAACTACAATATTGGCACCAATAACATTTATAATATCAATAACTTAGAGGTGGATAAAACTTATGTACAAACAATGTTTAGAGCAAATGTAACATGTTGTCACAAACGGACATCAAGATTTTGCATATGAGTCACAACAATGGTGACAATTAAAAAAAATTGTCATGCTGCAATGCATGATGGGCATCTTTCAAAGTTCAAAACTCATCATTGATTCCCAAGACTTTTTGATTTGATTGTCACCATTGTTGTGATTCATATCCAAAATCTTGATGTCTTTGTGTGACTACATGATGCATTTGCTTTAAAAAACTTTTTTCATTCTATTGGCACCAATATTGCAGTTCCTTAAGGCTGGTGGTTATGAATGCCAAAATATAAGAACAATTTATAACTCCATATTTGATGCTCAACAACATTGAGCTGATAACACCTGATGTTAGTTTTTTTTGGCATTTGTCACAACCGGCTCAAAGCCGTGGCAAATGAACTGGAAGACAGTGATCGGGTTACAAAAAGTAAACATTTATTAACCTTCTGGGGTCATCAAGTCCCAGGTCAGGTGATTATGCTGTCGACAACAACTCAGTGTATAATCAATGTCAGCATTATCATGAGGGTGCTTTTCTCTTTAAATTTTTATTGTCTATCTTTATCTGCCTTCACTCCTACTAAAGAAGAAATGTGCTCTGCATGCAAGACATGGGCTCTGTTTGTAGTGTAACATTCTTGCTCATGTGTCCTACAGTTGAAGAATTGACGTTAGAACTTTATTCAGGAAATTCTTTATAAACTTTACTAAAGCAAAATGCATGTTTTAAGATTGTAGAAAAATATATGGTTTATTCAAACAAAATAACTTTTTAATGTATCTAATTACACTATCAACATAAAAAATGCATGTTGATGTCTTTATTGTCTTATTGTCTGTACAGCACTATGGTCAACTCTGTTGTTTTATTCAGTGCTTTATAAATAAATTTGAATTTGAATTTTGAAAAAAAAGCACACAAAACAGAGAAATAAGGAAGATTCACCATTGTTTGAAACTAGAGAAGTCATGTAAATATGTCAGGTGATTCAACAAACAAGAGGTCTAAATTGGATCATGCAACTAAGGAAGATGCACCATTGTTTGAAACTAGAGAAGTCGTGTAAGTATGTCAGGTGATTCAACAAACAAGAGGTCTGTATTGGATGCACCAGTTTTCTCTCTGAGGAAGCATTAGACTATTGAGAAGTGCACATGCAAAACAAAAATGGGCATTTACCAATAAGTGGGCAATTTCAAACTACAATACATGTTTTTTCAACCATTTTTCAACAGACTTGCTAAAATCATGAAGGCCCACCCCTATAAACCAAGCCCCAGTGGATTTGAGCAAATTGGGTAAAGCGGTTGAAAATGCCTATTGTGGTTTAAAGACTCACTGACTGAGAAACACCCATGAGTGTTCTGCAGAGACACATCCCTGAATGATCTTGTGCTCAATGTTGATCCAACCCACTATAAACATTGAAATGTCAATCTCATCCAAAATGATGGTTTGGATCAAAACTCAACATTACAATGCTATCTTGGGAACTTAGTCCAACTCTAAATTTACCCCAGTCTTTTCAGGTCTTCAGTCTTTCCAGCAACCTTTGCACCGAGGAAGCAAATTAAGAAAAGAACAAAGAGAAAAGACAGGAAAAAAAAGAACAAATCCTATGGCACTAGACTAGCAGGGAACGTTCTCAGAACATTGGCTAACATTCCCCATTTGGTTAATGCTTTAAAAAGAAATGTTCAAAGAATGTTTTAAGGATGTTTTCTCATTTCAAATAATGTTTCTATAAGGTTAAATGTAAACTAAGATATAACTGTAACATTTTGAAGATGTTTCAAAAAGATTATACAATGTTCCATAATAACAAAGGAGGAACATTATCAAGTCAACGTTCGCAAAATGTTTAGAGGATATAATTGAGGCCTGAGATGACGGAATGCATTTTATAAAACATGCTTGTAATGCGACGTGTTAAAACAAGAATGTTATAGTGTTATGAAAACAGTAGGTCAACATCTCTACAAAGCGTTCTTTAATTCCCGGTCTTATTCTGAATACAAACCTTAACAAATTTACTAACAGACCAAACACGGTAAATAATCATACTAATAAAAGTATATGTTGCCTACAACGAAATCTGATGAGCTCAGAATATAAACTAAACGCATTTAATTCCACGTTAAGCAAATTGCCGAATATACTCAAATGAGATCGACTCAGACGTCAATAAATGGAGGCACAAATTATAATCACTAATATAAAATAAAACAAAAATTTCTTTATTTGTACAAATTGTTGCACATTCGTTGAATTCTGTCGTTATAGCGAGATATTATGTCGGTTTAACGACATACAAAATCGTTAAAATGACTTATCTCGTTATAACAACATATTAAATCGTTTTAATGACTTAAGTTGTCTTCTTTTTTTTCTCACCTTGCGGTTCAGAGCTTCCGTAATTAAGATATAACTTTGTAACAAAACAAAAAAAAATATTGAAATAAAACCTAAACGAAAGCAAAAATCAATCACACGTTTAGAAACAAAAATACAAGCCATATGACAATGCAGATTTTGGCATATCTGTTCTTATTTTAATAGTTTAGTTATAAAGGTAAATCCACTACACCAATACAATTTAGAAGTTCTAAAGTATTTATCAAAAAACTGGCCCATTTTTATTTTACCATATGCAGAAATTTGCTGAGATTATATTTAACATAGAAAAAATTGATTGTGTTGTGTCTATTACTGTAATCATAACATCTGTAATGAAGCATCAGGGAAGCAAATTGATGCAGAAACATCGAATCCAAACACAAAGACAATCCACATAAAAAAAAACGGAAAAGGAAAAGGATGCAAGGAACAAGAGTGTAACAACTTTACAAAACATGCAAAGACAACAACCTAAAACACATGGAATAAATACACAAGTAATACAAGGGTTAATGAGGAACAGGTGTAGGCAAAGAGTGGCCATAGTGAAAAATGAGGGTAGCTATGGACACAGATAAGAGAATAGGGAACAAATGCAAGAAGGAACTAAACACAGGAAGTGAACCCAGAAACAATAGAACAAAAATACTTCACCATAAAAGTCCTTAACCACGAGACAAGGGAAAACAAGCTGTAAACGTGCATAGTAATGGCACTTGAGTACTTTATTTCCTGAAGATGATGGTGGAGTCCTCAGTGTTTTTTGCATCCAGAGCGAAGACATCTGAAGAACTTCCTGTACTGCTCTCTGACCTGAACAAGAATGAGACGAGAGAAGCTTAGTGACTTCATGACATCAATTTAACCTCTGAAACTCATGAACCACAATGGCATTTCTTTCTAATAAACAGGCAAGACAAAGCGTTTTAAGAGGCTTTCTGAAGTAAACACAAGCTGCGTTTCCATTACCTTTCAAATTGCGCTAATTGAAATAGTGAATTGAAAATACTACAAATGCAAACACATCACTTTGCGCAAAAACTCCCATATATTGCAAAAAAAAACTTTATGATGACATGAGGTGTTTTTTCAAGCAATTGTCTAGATGTTCTCTGGAAACGTTTTGTTCTTAAAACGTTCTGGGAACATTACCATGAAGTTCTAATAATGTTTTCAGCTGGTAGTTTTATTTTTGTTCCCAGAATGTTCTCCTAAAAGGAACACAGCACAAACTCCAGTGATAAAAGTTAATGAGACAATTAAGTGATTAATTGAGTGATGATTGAGCATTATTGAAGACACCTGATGTTAACAAGCAGAATAACCAAAGGAGAAAATCACTATTTTTAAGTCACCATTATGGTGATCAGTGTATGCTTTATTTGGGCTCTTGACCCTTACATTTTAAACTTTAGATTTTGTTTGACTGTTGTAACTGAGTTATACCTGCCAGATGAACAAAGATAAACAGTGATTTGAAGTTCTTGGTTATGTTTTGACATAATTATAATTTTACATGAATCACAAAACTAATTTAGAGCCTAATCTCTAACTTAAATTTATATTGTTGATTGCACCATCACAGTGATTCTACAGCACAAGAGCCAGAATTTTCAATATATTCCAAAGGATTTCTTTAAACTTGTTCTGATAATCATTTTAAAAAAAGTGAAGGTACTAACAGACATCAAGCATGGATGTATGAATATCAACAATGGTGATAAATGAACTATTTAATTAGGAAAAGGACAGTTCAGATCATAATTTATTCATACTGCAATGCATGATGGGAGCCATGAATGAGTTTTGATTGGTGGCACCCAAAATGCACTGCAACATGCTTTATTATTGTCACCATTGTTGAGATTCACAGGCTGAATCTTGATGTCTGTGTGTCTTAATAAAAAAAATCTAAATCTATTGACACAAAATATTACAGTTATTTCTTAGATTACATTTGACCGAAACATTATTTGAAATGAGAAAACATCCTTAAATTATTCTTTGAACATTTCTTTAGAATAGAATAGATCTTTATTGTCCACCGGGGTGGAAATTTTTCTCTGGCTCACCGCAACATACAGAACAAAACAGATTAAAATATACAAATAATGGCTCAGGCATAATAAAGAAACATTTCTAGTTTCATAAAAAAAAATTAAAAAAAAACTTGTTAAGAATACGTATACTTATGCATTAAAATAGCAGCTCATTTGTTACTGTTGTTTTGTTTTGTTAAGGATACTAATGGCATAAAACATTAAAACATTAACATTAACCCAATAGGGAATGTTTAAAACATTAACCCAATAGGGAATGTTAGCAAATGTTCTGAGAATGTTTCCTGCTTGCTGGGACAGATTGCCAAAATAAGAACAGGACCTTCATGAAAACAACTGTAATATTCTTTAATATTCAGTTTTGAATGGAATATGGTGGTAAATTGAGTGATTTCTGACCTCATTATTGAAGACACAATAGACCAGGAAGATGAAGGTGCCCTGCTGGGAGTTCAAGATCAGGAAGAGGATCTCCAGCTCCTTCCTGTCACGAGTGAAGAAACCCAGAATCCAGGAGCAACCAAGAACCACAAACTGAGCCAGTGTTTTAAATGCCATAATCCTGCAGAGAAAGAGTTCATGTGTATTTATTGACTCTTTTTTCTTTTTCCTATGGAGTGTTAGAATAATAATGTTTGTTACTTGGATTGTTTCATCTGTGAAACTTCAGCGTTCAGATTTTTGAGAGTTGAGTTCAGATTGATGACGATGGTGATGAAGAGAATCATGTTTAACTGAAAAGTAGAAACTAAAAGTGAATCACCTTGTTTTCCTTTTAATTTTAATTAAAATCATGAGAAATAAGAAATGTGCTTACTGCTAGTATGACACAAACAGGACCCAGAAAACTCCAAATAAAATCTTTTTCAATTTTAATCCAGCAGCTGTTTAGAGGAAACACGATATAAGAACTGAATGAATTTGTAAAAAAATAAGATGTCTGGTGTTTTTAAAATTTTTATTATTTTCGTTTAGTTTTTTTTGTACAGTGTTTGTAAAAATGTTCTTTAATCAGATGGCAGAGATGTTACAAAAGCCCAGAGCTGACTTACAGTATTTGCTTCTAATCAAATTGACTTTAAAGAACAACTCACTGTTCACTACCGTATCCTCCAGGAAACAGCCCGACAGACACGGACACCACAACCAGAGCAACCGTATATCCAATCACACACAGGAATCCACTGCTAAGCACCTCCCTCTTTTTGGAGCTGATCTGTGATAGGTTCTTCACACAGATGAAGAGCAGCACAGCTTCAATGAACATCCACACAAAGCCGGAGAGAAAGAGGAAGTGCAGCACTCCTGATATCACGGCACACAACACCTGGAGATCATGAGAGACGGTTATGATGATTCTCAGTGAGACTGTGCTGAGCTGTAGAGCTCCTTCATCATTCTCACCTGATGACGGCGTATGAGTCTCAGGAACTGTTGTGTGAGCAGGAACAGAAGGTGAGCCGACAGAAGACTGATGCAGAGGTTGATTCGAGCCACATTATTCACTGCAGGACTCCACTGACAAAGGGCAAAGGTCAACAGGGCCAAAATGAAGAACACCAACCCCACGGTCACACACACCAAATTCAACAGGTCCAGCAGAGAGTCGCTCTGAGAAAACATGTCAGAGAACATGAGTGCTAAATCTGTGCTGTTCTTCAATGCTCACTATAAATGTTCTCGTACCTCTGATGGGCGGCTGGTTTGCATGATGAGAGCGAATGTGGACAGATGAACACACGAACACACAGTGTAGCTGCTATTGGTCTCTAAAACAGAACAACCATCTACAATCCACTCGCTGATATTCCAGTACACACAGGACAGAGAACCGTTGGGGTCAAACTCCTGCAAAAAGAAGAAAGAACATGCAGAAAATATTACAACACTGAATATTAGATGTTTTCAGATGTTCATCAGTTCTCAGGTTGGACAAAACACATTTCAGTCTCTCACTCTGATGTGTTTGAAGGTGAAGTTGACTGGTTTGGTGAGTTTAGTGTTGGTGGTTTTGGGAAGAGTAGCTGAGATCACAGTGGACATCATGGTTTTATTCGTGTCATTTAATGTGTTGAAGAAGTCTGGCTTCAGTAGATTCTCCATTGTGTTATAACTCATGAAAGCCACAGCAGCTGATCCTGTGTGATACAGAAACAGACGCTTACGTGCAATATTACAACAATTTAAAAAAAAAAGAAAATATGGCTTAGTGGAAATAGTATATCTTATTCTAATATTTTAATAATTCTACAGAAACATCTCACAGAAACATCTCACAAACCAGTTTCATTGTTGTTCTTGGCGATCCCAATGAGATCAATGTCCACAGAAGAATCTGTCGTGTCAAGTCGAGGGATTTTATCTAAGGTGACCTGTGGTCCAACCATGAAGACTTCAACCTCTGATAAAAACAAAGAGTAACGTTATCTGTTAATTACTTTTTTTAAACCCTTTTTTTTTTTTGAAGGTCGCATTCCATTCAATTTGCACAAAATGAAAACACAACACTTTATTTGAAAGGATCCATAAAAAATCCGGTCTCACTGTTCATGCCCAAGCCTATAAGCACGCCATAACCACATACAATTCTGCTCTCAAAAATGCCCGAGCTAACTGCTATTCACAACTCATCCATTCAAATTCTTCCAATGCTCGCACCCTATTCTCCACATTTGCAAAACTGACCAAACCTAAGGATAGTATAACCTCCACTTTCACTACAGACAAATGTAACAACTTCCTGTCATCCTACCATACCAAAATCCATACCATACATTGTTCATTAACATCAACTTCCTCCGTTTCTCCCCTCCCTGAACATCAACTTACTCCCCTCACACTTGACAGTTTTTCCTCTTTCTCTCCTCTGTCTCCCTCTGACACCTCCAAACTCCTTTCAACTATGAAATTCTCCAACTGCCAGCTTGACCCGATCCCCTCACAGCTCTTTAAAGCCTGTCAACCAATCCTCATCCCTCTTATCACCAACATCATTAACACTTCCTTCATGTCTGGATCCGTTCCATCCCCACTAAAACTTGCGTCCATCACACCCCTCCTGAAAAAACCTGGCCTGGACCCTGACAATCTGGACAACTTCAGACCCATCTCCAATCTCCCACTATTATCAAAAATTCTGGAACGTGCCATCATCACACAACTCCACCAATATCTCCACTCCTCTCAATTATTTGAAACGTTTCAATCGGGATTCTGTCCACACCACAGTACAGAAACAGCCCTTCTTAAAGTCACAAACGATCTCCTCATTGCTGCTGACTCTGGTTCCATATCCATCCTCCTCCTCCTCGACCTCTCCGCTGCATTTGACACTATTGACCATTCAGTCCTCCTTCATCGGCTTAGATCTATTGGCGTCTCTGGTACAGCACTTCTTTGGCTAACCTCCTACCTCTCCGACTATTAATAACTGCAACTCCCAAACCTCCCCTGCCAACTATGGTGTTCCCCAAGGTTCCGTGCTTGGCCCCCTCCTCTTCACCATCTATATGCTTCCCCTCGGTAAGATCATCTGTCACTATGGACTCCATTTTCATTGCTACGCCGATGATACCCAACTTTACATATCCACCAAATCCATCACCCCGGCTTTCCTCTCCACCATCACCGATTGCATTTCCGACTTAAAGACCTGGATGGACAATAACTTTCTCAAACTAAACAGCAATAAAACTGAACTCCTTATCACTGGCCCAAAATCACTCCTTTCCAGACTACACAACTTCAGTCTTCTTATCGACGGACATATTGTATCCCCCTCCCACTCCGTTCGAAACCTTGGTATCATAATGGACTCCACCCTCTCTTACCGAACACACATCAACCATGTCACTAAACTATCCTTTTTCCACCTCCGCAACATCGCCCGTCTTCGCCCCTCCCTAACCCTGTCAACAGCTGAAATCCTCATCCATGCCTTCATAACTTCAAGACTCGACTACTGCAATAGCCTTCTCTATGGACTACCTACTAATCAATTACAAAAGCTACAATACATCCAGAACTCAGCCGCCCGCTTGCTCACCCACACCAAGTCCCAGGAACACATCACTCCCGTTCTTCAGCAGCTCCACTGGCTTCCTGTACGCTATCGTATTCAATATAAGCTCCTCCTCCTCACCTACAAGTCCCTCCATAACCTGGCCCCGTCCTACCTCACTGAACTCTTGGTACAGCACCAACCCACCCGTCACCTGCGCTCATATGGCACAAACCACCTTACTCAGATCACCCGCACAAATCGCCGGACATTGGGGGATCGATCTTTTGCCATTGCTGCCCCCACCCTTTGGAACCCACTCCCTACATCCATTAGAAACTCTGTTTCACTATCAAATTTCAAAACAGCACTCAAAACCCACCTGTTCAAACTAGCATTTCCTTAGAACACCTTTATTTATTTATTTTTGTTTTTTATTTTGCTTTATTTTTGTCTTTGTCCCATGTGAAGCGTCTTTGAGTGTCCAAAAAAGCGCTATACAAGTGTGATGTATTATTATTATTATTATTTATTTGTTTGTATTTCTGATGTAGTTTGAATTCTTCAGGTTAACTTTAATTTAATATGCTAAGTGAATACAGTGTGACGGACAGGTTCTCAGTCAAGTAATCTCACAGTGATCTAAAAGTGTACCATCAGTCATCTGTCTAATTTGAAGAGCTTCAACCAAATGATGAATGACTTTGCACCAAAATACTGACCTTTGACATCAACAACATTAATTTAAAGGAGTCATAACCTAGTATTACCTTGGATACCTACGCTCTATTATAGTCTTTCAGGCCCAAAAAGAAAAGTGGAGGAAAAAAAATAACACAGAGCTCATCTGACCCTTATTTCTGAATGCATTATTGTCTCGCGAGATCTGATGCAATATTTTGGCTGTCGTGGACGGTCATTTTAATAATGCAAATGATGAGGGGCGCGTGCCGTGCGTTGATTGGTGGCAGGAAGGAAGGGGCTTGACACCGCAGGTAACTTCAGCATATCATTCCAAAATAACATCATGGCGCAAACAATGAATTCAACCATATATGTTTGAGACTCTGAACCAGAGCGGGAAATGGAAGATATAGAGTCAATGGAAGGACGTCATGAATGGTAGGTATTATTGTCCGACTCGAAATGAACGGGATTCCCGTGTAAAATGTTTAGCGCAGACAACTTACGTTGAGCCAGTTGATAGGGTTGTTGGAACAGCGTTATTTAAAATGAATTTCATCCACTGGTCCCTGGTAGTTTGGTCCGTGTTTGGTGGAGAAAACACATTTGAATGTTGATTCTGGCAGTCAACCACAGAGCAACTCACGTGTGCACTACATTTCTGCATCTTTCTTGACTGAATATGAGGGGGAGAGGGACAGCGCGGGCTTCCTGCAGCATGTCTGCTGTGTCCATATATGGTATATCCTGCCCTGTCTTGACGTCAAGTCGGGGGAGAAATTAAAATCTCGTATTTGAGTGCACGTGCACTGGTTTACGAACCCTGGGGTAAACAAACGCTTCACTTTTGAATATCGGCTTCCCGGCCAATGTTTAATCGTTAGACAATCATAACATACATTGATTCTCGTGGAAAAGTGACAATTACAGGTTATGACTCCTATAAAATACAGGTAGGTGCTGAAACCTGCTGGGCATTTCTGCCTATCGCACCTCCACCGGTGCCTAACAACTGTTTTCTGTTCTCTTTTAAAATATTTATAATTCTTCACATTATATAGTTACTGCAGCTGGATTTACCATCGTCATCGTCTGACACCAGTGAGATATCGTATATAATCTCAGTTTCATCGTCAGTAATAACAGTTTCTCCACTCACCTACAGCTGGAAGAGTTAAACTGACAGCTGCACTCGTGTCTGTCGGCGTCACCAATGTAGAGATGAGTTTCTCACTGGTTTTTAAGATACGGTTTCCACTGGAGGCGAGTTCAGCCGAGCTGACTGATGATGAAGATGATGATGATGACTCTAAAATCTTCCCTGAAGCGTTGAAGGCCATCGTCAAAATGTTGGTCACCGTCTAATTTATTAATCAGATGAATAGTGTCAAAGTAAAGGTCAAGAGAGCAAATAATACAGCACTGTTTTGTCAATCATAATATTATCTACAGTTTATAACTGACAAATATTTAATTTGATTATTTTTCTCTTGAAGACTTACATTCACAGAGAGCACTTGAGATGTGATGTTGTCAATCTGGTCAAGAAGATTTTCGAAACAGTTCTTACCCTGAAATCACAATTGTGAAAGAAGTAAGCTATTTGTTGATTTTGATCATGTTTTTCAATATTAACAGAGAGACAAAAATGTATTGTTACTGCACTGAATGTCACGGTGAAGGTTCAGTGATGTAAGAACAGACACACAACACAAATATACCAACAATACATAGAACAGCACATTCATTTTTCAAATTTCACTGCACGATTCCCATTGAACTAATAAACCATTTCCAATCGAAAGTTGCATATTGACAAAAAAAGTAAAAAATAAATAAATCACGCCACTTCCTGAAAAACTTGCTCAAAACATCAATAATTAAAACTGAAGCTGCTGCAACAGAAAATCTCAGCTCAGGTTAGGGGATGTATGATCAATAATCAATAATTCACAATCAATGATTAATCATACAGGTTATGAGATGTTATCAGCAACATTGTCATTTCTCATCCGCCGAAATGTTATAATCATAAATTTTATAGTATGTTCATATCTATATCTGGCTTGGTCAGACAAAGAGGATTCTGAAGATATCAAGAAAGACGTGCAACAAGGAAAGGAATGCAAAGTTACATTCAAATGCATGACTATAGGCACTTATAATTTATTTCATTGTACAATACAATCAGAACTAGACTAATGTGTGTGTGTGTGTGTGTGTGTGTGTGTGTGTGTGTGTGTGTGTGTGTGTGTGTGTGTGTGTGTGTGGTGTGGTGTGGTGTTGGAGGGAGCTTTCTCTCCCTTCCTGGACCTAGGAGAGCCGATTCTGGGACCCAGAGCTGGGGAATGTGTGTTCTGGTGCTCAACGGACCAATAAAAGATGTCGAAAAGTGATCTCATCCTGATATGTCGCACCATGCTGGTAATTTAGATTATCACGAGTCCTGATTTACATTCACGAGTTCAGAGTCTAAAAGCTTTGGGTTTTAGAAGGAATGTGCATGACTCATGATTCAGATAGTATGCAATAAAATGCATCTGTCCAGTTATCCAATCACATAATCTTATGCAATATCCCAAAATTTGCAAAAACACATGGATGGAAACATTGCCACTGACAGGATCTATGGGTTCAACTGTAAAACTGTAATTTCAGAAACTCAACTTACGGTGCATCCTTCCGGCAGCGTTATATTTACATCTGCAATGACAGAAACCAGCATGAAGACAATAATAAAATACTGCTGCGAATGAAAATTCAGATGTGTCAGACAAAACTTAATAATCTCATAAAGTTCTACTTATATTGTGTTTTATTCATTTTGAACTGAGTCCAGATCGAGTGGACGTGTCTCACTTTAAACTGTTGTGATGTTTCTCCATTAGGAGCAGAACTCATGTTACCAGCACATCAAACTATCAGTAATAAATCACAGTGCTAAACTGGATGGATGCAACCACAATTGACCATTCAACACCATATGTGGGAATGAAGAGACGTTGCCTGTGGCCATTTTTTTTAATTTATGGACATGAAATTTAAATATCTTCAGTCAGTCAAAAAAATTAAAAAATGAAATAAATAAAAACTCAGTTAATATACAGCTTGTGTGCAGAAATTAATTTTGTGATATAAAAAAGGTATGATGTATGCAATGCAATGTTCTGCAACTGCACATTTCACACACTCACACACACACACACACACACACACCAAAACGTTCAGTCAAAACACAATCCAACACATGAAACATCAGACTACATTACCAGCTGAGGCCGTTACTGGTCTGACTGTTGTGCTGGTGCTGCTGGTGTTTGTAACTGGAAAAAAAAGATGAATATTTATGAAGCACAGAATGAGAAAAAATGGCCAATTTGCCTGAACAATCTTTACGCATAAAGGATTATAAATAGCCAGTTTTTTTTATCTAGGTGAACTACTTTAAAACTTTTCTGAAGTTGATGAAGGAAACAGCTAAAACAACTTTTTTCAGGAGTTTCAGGAAACAGTTCTGCATTGATAAAGCAGATCCACACGGCTGCTTTAATGGTCAAGTGACTGTGTTACAGTGGTTTAAATAAGGCCTCTGGTCGAGCACGGAGAAGAGCTTACATATCAACTGTCTGGAAATGAAAGCAGTTGGTTTGGCCCTGAGCATTTCTGTCAAATCCCCAGTGTAAATTCAACACTGGCTCAGAGTGTATTTGGTCCCACTCTACAGAGTGTTAAAGTAACACTGAAGCAGTGTTAAAGTTAATGAGATAATTAAGTGACTAATTGAGTGATGATTGAGTATTAGTGATAAACACCTGCTGTTAACAAGCAGAATTACTGAAGGAAAGAGAAACACAAGAACTACAACTGACTTCCAGTCACAGCCTAAGATTAAATCAGATGAAGATACAAAGAAGATTAAATCTGTGAAGATCTCAGCAGAGGAGGATTAAACAACTCCACAAACAGCATTACCAGCTTAAATCTTTGGACAAACACACAGACATCAAGAATCCACATATGAATCTCAACAATGGTGAAATGCTTTATGCCGCAATGCATTCTGGGAGGTACCATAGTTTAAAACTAATACTCAATCATCACCCAATTAGTCACTTAATTATCTCATTAACTTTAACACTGCTTCAGTGTTACTTTATCACTCTGTAGAGTGGGAGAGACACCCCTCACTGCAGCCTGTAGCACGATGACGTAGCTGGATGGTCCAATATGTAGTGGACGCTGTAATGCGCGCATGCGCACTAGTCAAGTCAAGTCATCTTCATTCATATATCGCCTTTAACAATTTAGATTGTTTCAAAGCAGCTTTACATAGATACGCATATAATTTAATGTAACAGAGATTGCTTTGGCTTTATAGCGGTTCGTGAATAATGTTATTTTCCAGCGTATTTTAAAGTTATTAGGGCCCAAGCCCTGAAAGGGCGAAGGCCCTATTGTTTTCCTTAGGATTATTTATTCTTCTTCTAATTATTATTTTGCTACATTTTGGGCACTTTTGGGGCCCTTAACGTGCTCGAAAACTCTTGAAACTTTGCACATGGGTCAGAACCCGCGGCCATCAGAGCCGGGCTGAAGCTGGTACCTGGGCGTGGCAGGGGGGCTCGTCAGCGCCCCCCTGGAACGGGGTCCGTTAATTATTAAAAAATGCCATTATTTTATATGAAAAATGTAATAATTGTATTTTTTTAAGAAAATATTTTGGTTTGACTTGTATATATTTTTTTATTAGATGAGTTAACATTTTAAGCTGTCATATGGCGATGTTACAATGCACCCCTCATATGTTTCAATGAACCCCACCTATGGGGCATGTTGTCACATTTAACATTTATTTCAGGGTAAATCAAGAAAAGTAATGTGTCTGAGAAATCCACTGTAGCAATGGATTAACAAAAATCAACTGGAGGAAACAATATGTTGCTGTATTTTCAACAGTAAAGTACTGGCAACAACAGCTGATGTTTTTATTGAATTATAGTCGTGCAGTGAATATTTTATTCTTCTGACACAAGCACACATCTATCCAATGGTACAGAGCGGTGTTTCCTAAAAGCATCGTAAGCCTTAGTTGATCATAGAGGCCCCAGCTAACAGAATTTTGTTATAAGAACGTTCTCTAAATATTCAGTGTTGGTTCTGGGAACGTGAAAAATGTCCAGTTTTCTTGACGTTAGAAGAACGTGTTTTAAAAGGTATAATGTTCCTCAAACGTTATTTAAACTTAATTTTCGATTAAAAATTCAACATGATAGTAATGTTGATTGCTAACATTCCAAGAACATAAAAATGTCCAGTTTCCTGAATGTTACTACACAAAAAAAAAAAAAAAAAAAAAAAAAAAAAAAAAACTCAAGAGTGTTAAAGTGTTCAAATTTGAGTGTTAAATTAACACTGAAGAGTGTTAAAGTTAATGTGCTATTTAAGTTATTGATTGAGTAAAATCAAATCCGCACATTCAGTACATATGCTCACCTGCGGTGGTTGGACTGAGTGTGGTCGGGGTGATGTTATTCTCGCAGAAGCAGGAGGAGAAAGTGCTTGTAGAGCATGAACAGGTGTCCTTATTACCAATGCAGTAACAGTTACCACCGCTGCATTCAGACTGATATCCCCCGTAGTTGAAACTGTGCATTCTTGTGTTGCAGTACATGCGATACTGAGCACCAGTGCAGACGTACGTTTCATTATAAAGCACACAGTCAGAGACTGGTGTAACTGCTGCTGGGATGCTATGATTAGTACAGTAGCAGGAGGATGAAGGATTGGAACATGAACAGGTGTCCTTATTGCCAAGGCAGTCACAGATTTTACCCAAACAGTGGTAATTGTTTGTATGATAATGGAAATCATGTACACTTGTGTTGCAGTACATGTGATACTGAGCTCCAGTGCAGATGTATGATGCGTCATTGTAAAGCACACAGCCAAAAGCTGGAGTAACTGCTGTAGTGAGAGCAATGATATTACCGTAAGTCTCACAGAAGCCGGAGGAGAAAGTGCTGCTAGAGCAGGTACATGTGTCATTATTACCAACACAGTCACTGGTATTACTTCTACAACGCCACTCAGTTTGGTTGTAATAGAAATCTTGCACAGTTGTGTTGCAGTACATGCGGTATTGAGCACCAGTGCAGATGTACGTGTCTTCGTTACGATTACAGTCCAAAACTGGAGTAACTGCTCTTAATTCAGCGGCAGTGGATGTTAAACCTGAGGATGAGAATATCTTCAGCATGTTTAGTACATTTCATTTGAAACACATGATGTGTTTACACTGTTTAAAGGCAAACACACATCTTTTCCTTTTCATAGTCTCTTCCGACCATGACTTTGAAGCTGTTATATTAAAGTACAATTCTTGCATAGCGTGCCTTTAATAAATGACCTTTACTTTCAACTGTAAGTAAATCTGCAGGCTTTCTGAACTACTGTGATATCTATAATATTGTGATAGATATATTAATCATCTTTTAAAATGTATAAAATATTGAATTTAGAGTGACATTTTAAACCCAAATAAATCCCTAAAAAACATTCTGTAGTTTCTCCCAAGAGCCCAAAACACTGAGGCTTATATAGAAATACAGATAACCTGTGTATTAGTGGCTAAATATGACTAAATACTGGGAAATGTAATCAATTGTCCAAAAATGTAATATAGTTCACAGGGTTAACTGAGAGTTTGCAAACACTACTTGCGTACACTTACACGGGATTAAAGTGATGATAGTCAACAGTGACTGTACAACACCTGGCATGAAAAAAAGAGGACAAATATTACAACGTTTAATGACTCAAACATTCATGTTTTCTTTTAGGACAATTCTTGTGTCTTTCTGATGTTTAGACTATAAACAAGTAAATTAGTTCAAGTCAGAATGCTCTTTCTCTCCCCGAACAAAACCAAACACGGTAAAATACAACTTTTTAAAAAAACACCTGAAGACAGATTGATGTTTCACGCCATGGACAGACAGAGACTGTGTGTCACAGACAGTTCTGATTTGAATATGCAAATAATTAAGCGCCTATGCATTTGATTATTTTTGCAGTGATGGATATTTTAAGCTTTTAACATATGTTTAAAATATGTAATACACAGCAGGGTTGGTTGTTACACAGTGTTACAACTAAGCTGCCAAGTGTACAATGATAATCAAATGAAAACGGAGCCAAACAACTTTTCAGGCTTGAGTATACAAAAAACAAAACAAAAAACATACTTACCCAGCATGACAAAGATGATAGTTAGTCCTCTTTTAAAACCTGTCATGAAATAAAAAATAAATAAATAAGAAAAAAAACACTTGAAAATGTGTTGGACTGTAGCCTACTGTAATTTAGAGTTTGAGAAAACTACATTCATCATCTGATCGCAGTTCATAAAGGATTTTTGGGCAGAATTAACTAGTCTTTGCTAATTATGACAAGAAAAAAAAATCACCTTTATAAAGAGAGGAATCCATTGACGATTTTGGACTTCCGATATTTCCCTTTATTCAAAACCCAGGAAGACGAGTTTTCTTTTCGGTTCAGATGAAAAAAACAAATGAGATTTGGCATTGATAAATGACTTCTGTTTGTGTCCCCTCTGTTTTCAAAACACTTCCAATGAATTTATCAATTTACATATTGATATAGATGACAATTTTAAACATTTATAGTTTGAAATGAATGAAACGTGTCTATTAAATTAAGCAATTAAATTAAGAAATTAAGTTGAGCATCTGAATACTGAATGAACATTTCCAAAAGAGTAACCAAAACTAATCGCAGAAATTATATCATACAATCATGTAATCATATCACAAACTGTGAGTCAAAAACTATATATATATTTATATATTGAAGATCTACATGTGCACTGGAAAAAAAAACTGTAGAAACACTTTTACTCATAAATTGCTAATAAAGTTCACAAGTAATTACAAAGAATCTGCGTAACACATTTAATAACAGACATTTTGAAGCACAAATAATGAAATTTTTAAATATACTTAATGATATTTGTGCTATTTATTGTTTTTAGTGTTTAAGAGTAATCAGAGTGTATTTAATACAAGTATATCAATATTAAAATCACACACTATAAATTTAGTATTAGTATATTTTTTCCAGTTCAACCACATTTCTAAAAATCAGAACATGAATAGAATTACTCCAATCACTCCTCAGTCCATGATCACACATCATGTTTGATGTACAAAGACTGATGAGGATCATTATGAGCAGAAAGAAGATCTTACCTGATATAATATGTGATTCTCACAGACGCGACTGACTGAACAAGATAGTGTGTGTT